AGGCTAAACAATTAAGGACTTCACAGGAATACCCAAATGTATGCCTAATACTCTTTTGTCCCAAGAGCTGCCATGCTGCCTGTCTTTAAGAAATGTTTCCAGATAGAATCATTAGCTCCTATAATGGAACCATTGCAGCCGCATCTGTGTCCTCAACCTTCACATTGAGAGAGGATTCAAAGGGCTTTGTTTTCACTGATTCTTAGTTAAAATTGCTTCTGTCATTTGTGTCTTGCTTTGCATTGCTACATTTTCAGATATTTCTACTTTGCGGTTGCCTTAGATACTCCAGTTGAGGTTGGTGCCACAATGGGAGTTGCTGTACAAACATATGGAGAGTCAATCCCCTCCTGTGATGTATTTACATTGTTGAAACAAGCATTTTACATATTAGTTAGGTTCTGTCTTATCTCAACAATCTGATAGCTTGTTAAATTAGTTTATCTATTGCATATCTTTTTTAAGCCCTTTCTAAACAGCTGCATTTGGAGATAGTAGGCTGGTTTTGGAAATTCTAATAAATTTTAATGTTCTATTAGTATCATTAATAAGCTTTAAAATAAAAATATCTTTGATAGAGAGAGCAAAAAACAACAGCCTTTCTTTTTCAAGGAACAAAGAAGCTGTGAGATCTCTATTTCTGAAATTCAAATCAACCTTGAGAGTCTTTTTTAGTGTTATAGAAGCAAGGACAATGTTTCTTTAATGCAGTTTTTAAAATCTCATGAGAAACAGCAGTTTTAATATTAAAATACTTGGAAAAAATATGTTATTGCCATCATGGAAGCCCACAGTATTAGGTGAGGTGTGGAATTTATAAGTTGCAGTTTTCTGTTTCCTATTTTGTGATTAGCTGAAAATCCTACCTCTCTCTTTTGAGGGCTAAGGATTTCTTGCATTTGTACGGCTCAAGTCTTATATTGCTTCTCAGCACTATGTAAGGTAAAGTAGATTTCAGAATTTGTTCTAAAATTTAAAGAAATCAGTATGACAATTTATGTACAGTAATATAAATTTTATGGTAATATGTTTCTTCTTTCAAAATTATTTTGCTACTCATTTGATGTTAAGAGCGAGTGGAATCAGTGCAGATAGTGTTGGAGCTGTTATTTGTTCATAGCTTTGAGAAGGCAAAATATTCACAAATGGGAATAGGTACATTATTTATAAGTAGCCATATGTTTGAATATTGGAAGCTATATTTGGATGAATGCTCATAATTGTATTCATTTTACTTAATTTTATTATTTAATTTTATTTACACTCTGTGTGCGTCTGTATATACATAATATAACACTATATTATGAAATCCTGGATTTTGTTGTTGTTAGACCCACACAGCACTTTTTAATATGGAGATTATCTAGCTGTTTTGTATCATCTCCCCTTTCAATTTCTGAAAAGTTCTTCTTTCCACGAGAACTGCCTGTATTTGCAGAGACTTGCTTGTTGATGGAACATAAGGTGGCAAGTACAAAAAACTTGTGAAATACAAGGCATATAAAAATCGGCTGGTGGATGACTTTTAGAAGGGTTTTACTTTTACTTTTTGAAATTTATTTTTATTTTCATTTTTTGGCCCTGCATCCAGTTTCAGAACATTCCAAATTTATTGTAGTCACCAATCCTGAACAAACAACCAAACCAAAGTAAATTGTGTAGACTTGTCATTTTGTTCACTGGAAAATGAACAAAATTTACGAATAAAACTCAAACCTTAGTGAACTTTTATAGGACAATTTTCTTTCTGAATAAAACCTGTAATATCCTGTTTGCAGGCAGCAGCACCAATACAAGGGTTGCAGTTTATTTTACCGTTTAACGTTTTGTGGTGAAACCAGATTCTTCCTTCTCCTTTGGGATCGTAAGCCGAGTAGCTGCAACTCCTTATGAACAAAATATCCTAGTACATGAAAATTCACGTTGACATTCTAGCACTCTTGGTGTCTTCTTATTATCAGACACGTTTTGCAGCCTGTATCTTGGAAGCAGCAAGTGTTCTGTTTGATTTCTCTTTACTATCCCAGTTAGAGTGTCTAACCAAAGCTATGGTTGGAGTGGCGGAGAAGGAGGAGGACAGGGAGGATGGTCACTGGAGACCTCAGCTGGACCAGCTAGTCTCCAAAGCTCTCCAAATAGTCAGAGAGTGAGAATATTTCTTCAGGGAGAACACGTAAAGTCAGGGTCTTACTCTGCACCCTGCAGAGTAGTTTCTTTTCTTTTACTATACATGATTCTAAAGGAAACAATCCTTCTAAAGGAAGGATAAGTGAGCCCATGGATAACAAGACATACCAAAAACTAGTTCTCTGAACAGTATGCTTCATGTGATATGTCTCAGTTTGAGTACCAAAAAAATCACTGTCTTCTTTTCAAGAATATTAATCTGCCAGCATAAAGTCTTCAAGAGCAGTAGATTCCTCTCTATAATAACTGGAAAATTCTTGCTGGAATTTTTTCCAATACTTTCTTGTAACGGTCTTGTTACAGAGCTCTCCAAAGCCTCAAGAGTCGTAGAATTTGTTTTCTACCAGTTACTTACTTCTTTGATTTTAATAATATGATTTGTCCTAAGGTTATAACACTTCCCATTTTAAACTTGTTTGACTTGTAGTCTAATTAGTTTCTATTTTAATTTATTTTTTTAAATCCTGTACTGGCTAGTTGCTGTCAAGGAAATAGGTGGAACTGTTGAGAAAATGTTGCTTCTGAATTTAGTTTGGAGAAGGCATCTTGTTTTTGAAAAAGGTTCCTGAATACTTGCTTATTTGTCTGTTTCCTTTTTCTCTCTAAAACTGTATCCAGTAATGGCATAGTCTACATATGTTGATTTAATTTTCTTAAGTATATCTATCTTCTGTATTTTCAGAGGTTGGGGGATTCGATTCTAGAAGGTATAGGTTAGCATGACAGAATTTGCCCCGGACTGAGAGCAGACACATATTTCCAAGGAATTGCTAAATTTGCTTGCAACAAAGTGCTTAAATTCAAATTTATTCTCTAGCTACCTGGTAGGACTTCAAATATCCATCAGTCTAACAGTTGGCAAAGAGAATATATTAGAATAGGAGTCAAAGAGAAAAAAAAATGAAAGCAAAGGTATAGTACAGGATAACAGAACTCTTTCCTGATAATTCAAAAGCCTGCAAAAAAGAGTTTTCAAACACAGATTGAAATTCTAGGCTTTGTAACAATGGTTGCTTAGCTCTTTGATGTAATTAAAAAATTGTATCTTTTCCTATTTGGCAATGAATTCTGATAGCTGCGTATATATTTTTTATTTGTCAGATAGAATGGGTAAACAATTTTCAGCATGTATATTGTTCGCAAGCTATTTGCTTTATTTATTGTAAGAGGTATTTGTGTAGACAAATGCTAAGATATTTACTTAATTATCAGAATACTTTTAAAAGGAAAATAATGAACAACAACTGGAAAAATCATAGCTGGCATTAATGCCTGTTCTGTTTCAGTGTATACCCTTGTCTTTATAATGGCATGGATATTCTTGTGAGCATAAATTCCTACTAGATACCAAGGAGAACAAAATACTCTTTGTTAAAATATGAATGAAAAGATAAGGAGAAGGTGCTAGCAAAATGTTTCCAGGACTGAAATAATACTGCAGAAGTGGAGAGAGGGGACGACTGTAGTGTGACTTGAGTTGGAAAAGTCATCTGTGTTCTAAAATGAGCATATTCCGTCTACTATGACTGCTGAGATAATAAATCTTGAGGCAAAAGGGGGCATTTTTTCTAGCCACTCCTAAGTAAACCCAAATCTTCAGCTCTCTTTCATAATTTATCAAACAACAGTAAGGAGGTAAATCAGAAAGCCAAACCAAAAATATTGATAGGGTATGTGGGGCGAGGTGCCTTTTCTTGGTCTCCAAATATATGTGGAGATTTTAGCATATGGTGTCTACTCTCACATATTCTACATTCTAGGAAGAGAGAATGAGATGCCACCTTGTAGCATTATTTAGTCTGCTAGAATATATGGATTGCAGTTCCTCTCTTCTGAGATACTCCCTAAGCCAGGATAGATCTATGATAGCAAAAACTCATAGCTCTTGGGTCTCTGCTAGCACTTATGTTTAAATACGTACGGGTTTAACGATAAATTTCTTATACAACAGTCTCTTTACATCTTGATTCACTGCACTGAGTGAGGTAAATTTTAATGACAAGAAACAAAAGAACTACTTGAATGAACTGCCAAATAACTTATATTTTTACAAATTGTTATTGACAATAACAAAAAATTGAATAACAAAAAATAACAAAAATTGAAATGTTCAGCCAGATCAACCATTTTTCCTTCTGGTATATCACAGCTATGTGCAAAACTTGAAATCATCTTTGTGTTCCTACAAACGAACCTGTACTTACTGCTAACGTCCAAGTAGAGCACTTAATGGGCATTTTTTTCAATAGAATTGTTCTACTGTCATGAAGATTAGACTATATTGAGTAAAGGAGATATGCAGCTATGTCAGAGGTTGGCTTTTATAGACATCTTGTATGAACCTATTCACTAGATAAGCCTGTAAAGGTTTTTTTCCCTGTATCATTGTCAAGTCCAGTGATTAAATGATATTAAGAGGACATGTAAGATGCAACTTGGTAAATAAGATTGTCCTTATTTTTTAACTGCAGCATTTGTACAATGCAAGAAGGTTTAACTTCTCCTATTTCTAGTCCTGCCTAATAAGGGTCACACTGTCAAATTGCATGGTATCTGCATTTCCACTAGAGAAGAAATACAGAAAAAGAAGTTCATGTTGAATGAGAAAACAATTACCCTTTTAAACTTTGGCGCTTTCTCATTGGTATGCAAATTTGGAACTGATTATAAAGCTCTAATTAGTCTCTAGAGAACTAACATGGACAATAGATTGCTCATTAGTCTATCAGCTCTCCATGCAGTTGATTGGTTATCATCTTACACACACTGTCTAATACAGAAACTGAAATTATATATGTTAATCTGCCTTCCAGACGTTGCAACTGTCTGTCCAGATAAGAAGTCCATCTTAATGTACGTGACTTCCCTCTTCCAAGTTCTGCCACAGCAAGTCACCATGGAAGCCATCAGGGAGGTGGAAACATTGCCACGACACTCAAGGGTCACTAGAGAAGAGCACATACAAGTACATCATCAACAGCATTTTTCACAAGAAGTGAGTTGTTTCACTTTTGTACTTTCATGTTGCTGCCCTAATATTTTTTTTTCCTTACCTACTCTAAAAGTGTGGTGTTAGACGGGCAATGGAAAGCAAAAAATCCACAGATATAGTTTTAACCATGGTGAGGAGACTTTGTCCAGTGTACTTGTCTGCATGAATTGTATTTGTGTACTGCTTTTTGTGTTGCACTGGCTGTTTTAAAAGTAACTATTTAGCAAATATGGGCTAACTTCTCATCTGTAGCACTGGATCTTTTGATTGTGGAAGTACACCACAAAAAAGAACACAAAAACTGGGAGGTTTTCCATTTAAACACAGACATGTGGAAACTTTTTGCCTTTTTTTTACAAAATAGCTGTTGCCATTTCTGCATATTCACTGTATATTTTTAATTTTTTTATTGTAGTATTTTATTTCCAATGGCATTTTAAGATCATCCATCTTTAGCTCACAACTGGCCTCTCAGAAAGCTCCTATGTAATCCCTGGCATTTCAATATGTTGGCTCTATCACTTATACTTTTGATTCATCCATTGGTCAGTCTCTGCTTAAGTCTTTAGTGGATTTTAGGCCTAGTGTACTTGTTCTCGGTTTAAATTGCATCTTGCGTTTGGGAAGCTTAGTCCCTTTTTGGAGTACTGAGCTGATGAATGTTGACTCTGTTAAGGACTTACTACATGATTACTTGTTTTTTAGCCTTTGCTAGTAAATTATGAAGAACCTTCCCTTTGTATTGATATTCTGCTGGAATTGAATCCTGACAGTTTGTGGCTTTCAGGATGGGATGTCAGATTAAATCAAAGCTTTCCCTGATACTCACTATTTTTGACTGCTGAATACCAACTCTGTCCTTGAAAAATACTGCTTCTGATGCCCTTTCTTTGCCTTTCCCTTCCGCTCCCCCTTCCCCTTCTTCTCCCCCTCTCCCTTTTTCCCTTTTCCTTTCCCTATCAATGCTTTACTTTTATAATCCATATTTCTATCCATAAATGCCTGTTCTTCCAGCCTCTAATTTCTTCTTCATAGATCACGGTCAGTGTACCCCAGGGCCCTTCGTCTTCTCCTAAACCTCGGTTCAAAAGTTATGCATATACACAAGCTGTGTATGTTACCTCCCCTGACCAAAAAAGGAGGCAGGTTCCTCCACAGGTCTGTCAAAATTGCTGTATGTTTTGAAAATTTTCTATTAAACTTGTGCTTGGAGTGGAAGTGTGCATGCATTTTGCTTGTACCGGATCTTGATGATTTACTTTTTCTGGCTTTTTTAGCATCTGTCACATCGTTTCTTTTGGCTGTGTATTTCTGCATGGCTGTCAAATAGGCTTTATGCTGATTGTTAGTGACCAAAATTCAAACACTGATGCTATGTTAGAATTATAAATGGCTTCCTTTTTTAGTCATTTTTGAAAATAGAAAGTATATTGACTTGAAAGGGTATTAAAAGACAAACCAAACATGAGCTATATTTGGCAACTGTGCTTCTGTGGTTTGTTAACAGAAAAACAAGCACTATCGGTTTTCTGTTGCTTCTTCCCACTCCCATATCTGTTAAAGGAAAAACTGTGAATGATGATATTTTTATGAAGATCACTGTAGTTTGAAAAGAAACATTAAATGTAATATTCTTTATATGACCTAGAGTATTAGATGATAACAGCTGGTCATTTTATCACAAATGGTACCATGCCAACATTCAGTTTAGGGCTTTGTGGTTTCTTTTAAGACTTTAAATAGCCACAATTTAATAAAAATTGTTTCAAGCGGTCCTCGTAATGAGCGCTTTGGTAGTCAGATTTTTATAACTTTTGACAAGTATGAGAGCCAAAGGTCATATTGTCTAACATGGCATACTTTCATTATTTTTTGAAAAAGAGGTCTACATTTATTGGCACTACAGTATGAGTTCTCTTGTAGAGACTTAATTTTGTCTAGCATCTAAAAATGTACTTTAAATTTACACTTCTACTTCAACACTGTGTTTCTGAATCTACTCTTCAATTGACAAGTATTTTACTGAATAACGACTTCCTTTAAATACTCCAGGAAAGACAATCCTTTGCACATCTGCATGAGCCCTGCCATATTGGACTAACATGAAATGTGTTGTGGTGATGACTAATGCAGCTTTTGAACAAGGTGTTTAGAACTGGTGTAATTAATTTCTTCTGCTTAAGTATTAAACTGATAGTTCATAAGATTAGGAAGTCACGATTTAGCTTTGTTTTTGAGCTACTTTTATTGTAATTGATTTTATTTTTTATTAACATCCCCACTATCAGACATAGCTTATGAGCCAATATAATTAAAGCCTATTTTATGCAAAATAATTATTAAAATGTAGTAAGAAAACATCTTTTTATTCTTCAGTCCTCACCCTGCATTCTAGTTTCCAGACCTGGATTTGGAAGCTATGTTTATAATTTCTGTTACAATAAGCCAATTTGGCAGAATCCAAAGACCTAAGCGGAATTAGGTCCTATTGTGCTGGAGTCACAATGAACATTAACAAATGAAAAACACTCTCTTAAAAAATCGCAAATGAAAAACACCAGACATAGAATCCTTGTAGTCAAGATAAACCTGAATTGCAATTGGAGTGCCAATTCAATACCTGCAATTCTTAATCTGTGGTAATGATTTTTTGCTTCTGGCCTTATATTTCTTGAAGAACAGTCATCTAAGTATTAAAACAAATTTATAATTCTGGTAAAATAGTCAGTGGTTGGTAATTTTTGCTTTAGACATTTGAAGCTGATATACCTTAATAATCTCATCTATTTTTACCAAATCAAACACTCTT